AAAAGGAGATTAGATCTTGCAACTTATTGTTTTTAATTTTGGTATATCTTGGCACTGTGATTTGCAGGCGATCAGTGTTGGAAAAGAAGTTGGCCTCATCACATGTTCCAGAAGAGGAACAAATCAATCTGCTGAAGGATTTGGAGCGTAAAGAAACAGAGTATATACGACTTAAAAGGCACAAGATTAGTGTTAACGATTTTGACCTTCTAACCATTATTGGGAGAGGGGCTTTTGGAGAGGTTAGATATATCTATAATTTTCTAAGTGAAATGTTAAAATCTGTTGTGTTTATCCTTAGATCAGATATTTGAAATTGTCCATATACCTATGTACTCAAAATCAGACGTCTAAATTATTTTATCAACAATAAATGGGCAAATTAACCCTTTAATCCCCCCCTGCACGTCTTCTCTTTCGTTCCTATTCTGTTCCTTGACATGGTAGTATTGGGGTACTTATATCTTATAACTCATTTGCAGGTTAGATTATGTCAAGAGAAAAAATCTGGCAATATTTATGCCATGAAAAAGCTGAAAAAGTCTGAAATGCTTAGCAGGGGACAGGTAAGATCTGACCCTGGAAGCAGAGTACTTGTACTTTGCGACTTACTTCTGAGAAGTTGCATTTTATACATTTTTTATCCTCTAGGTGACAATGTTGTAAATCATTCTTGCTTCCATGGTTCACAAAAGTTCTCTTTTTATGTTCCTGTGCTATTTGATTAATTTCTTTTTGCTCACTGATTTTGTGCATACACCATAGGTTGAACATGTTAGAGCTGAGAGGAATTTGCTTGCAGAAGTTGCCAGTCACTGCATTGTGAAACTCTATTATTCATTTCAAGATGCTGAGTATTTGTATCTAATTATGGAATATCTTCCTGGTGGTGATATGATGACTTTGCTGATGAGAGAAGAGACTTTGACTGAGACTGTGGCTAGGTTTTACATTGCTCAGAGTGTTCTGGCAATAGAATCTATTCATAAGCATAATTATATTCATAGGTTGGTATTTTTCTCTTGACCAAATATTTACGAACAAAATTTCACAAAACCTAACTTTTTCTAATTCTGGTGACTCACAGCACAATTGTGTCTGTTCTTGTTTTTCAGAGACATAAAACCTGACAACCTTCTGTTGGACAAAAATGGTCATATGAAGCTTTCTGACTTTGGTCTTTGCAAGCCTCTTGACTATAGAAAGTTGTCTACCATAAGTGAAAATGAAACTGTGGATGATGAGAATTTGAATGAATCAATGGATGTTGATGGCAACTTCCCTGAATCTGGTAGCGGAAGACGTTGGAGAAGTCCCCTCGAACAACTACAGCATTGGCAGCATAACAGGAGGAAATTGGTACTAATTTGATTTCCTTTCTAAAGTTACAAATTTGTTACCTAATTAATGTCTCTTCATTTATGTACAGAAAGCTTAATCTGGTTAGTTTGACTTAATTGGATTTAAGGTCAAAGATAGTGATAACATAATGGAAGATTAATCTTATGGCTACATGTGGAACTACTGATGAGTGTGCCTGAGAAGGGTCTTTATTCTTAATAACTTGGATATTGGTTTCATTAGGCATGGAGGGAGTGAATGTCTGCTAGGGAGTTATATTTAAATCCTAGAGATGACTGGATATATTAATTAAGCACATGCTAATATTGAAAAGGGGTAAAAGCTAGTCCCTTCAGTTCACTTATTTTCTGGTTTTGGTCTCTCTAAACTATTTTTCTGTGCTATTATTCCATTTTCTTATAAATGTTTCTATTGTACCTTGTTTGTCATTGGGCACCAAAGTTCTTATTTATAGATTCAATTGATTCTGACCCTATTCTCATGTTTCAATGGCAGGCATATTCAACAGTTGGCACACCAGATTATATTGCTCCTGAGGTGTTGCTGAAGAAAGGATATGGCATGGAATGTGACTGGTACGATAATTAGAATAAAGGATACTCTTGAAATTTACAAAGTTGGCATTTGTTTTCATACATTTTAAATTCAATGCAGACTTAAATTATGGAAAGCAAACAGACCAAACTGCTTGTGGCTCTTTTATGAAGGAGCTATCTAAAATTTTGCATATTCATTATTCAATTTTTCTATAATTTTAGTAGATAAGACTTTATATTATCTATTATATAAATTGTTCTTCCGTTTTCTTATTGCAGGTGGTCACTTGGTGCTATAATGTATGAGATGCTCGTTGGTTATCCTCCATTTTACTCTGATGATCCAGTAACTACATGCCGAAAGGTTTTATTTTACTGTAACATTTGTTTTAGCTGAAACAAGATATATCCTGTTAACCTATAATTTACATTGTCATATTTCAATGTTAGATGTGCCCTTATGTCATTGGATCATCTATGCTTTCTTTAACAAGCTTATTGATTCATTCCAGATTGTACACTGGAAAACTCACTTAAAATTTCCTGAGGAAGCTAGGTTGTCACCTGAAGCAAAGGACTTGATCTCTAGGTTGCTTTGTGATGTTGAACATAGACTTGGTACCTTAGGTGCTGACCAGATAAAAGTATGCTTCTGTTTATCCCAAAATATTTATATTTTAGTTTGCTTTTCAATATTCTTATTCTATACGTCTGTTAACTCTGGGTATAATCAGGCTCACCCTTGGTTCAAAGACGTTGTATGGGACAAACTCTATGAGATGGAGGCAGCATTTAAACCACAAGTCACTGGGGAACTTGATACTCAAAATTTTATGAATTTTGATGAGGTAAATGTAACGAGTATACATCAATCCCTCCTTTAAGCACAGACAAGCTTCTATTGTTTATTCTTTGATGCTTTGTTAATATTATTATTTTTCACTGCACAATGCAATTAACTCGCCTGTTAGCCTGCTAGGTATTTATCAGAAGTTCAATGATCAAACACATTTGTATTAGGTAGAGGGCTAATGGTCTGAGAGCTAGTTGCCACTTTTCATCTTGTACTAGATTTTGGAACCAACAAATAATTGTTATTTTCTATATATAAGTAATAATATATTTAAATGACTATTTTAAGTTAGTAGTTGGCCCGGCTTAGAAAAAAAGAAAAAATGATCCACCATCTGAGTTCACATTCTGCCAAACTTTTCCTATTTAAAAGGTAAAGGAAATAGGAGAAAACAAAAGAGTATGATTGGGAGCTTTCTTCTCAACATTTGTCAAAGCATATATCTATTGGATTTTCTGGTGGTATATGTTTATTTTCCTAGTAGTGCTTGATGCTGCATTTATTAAATTGTATAATTTGTCAGATTACTCTTTCTTTCATTCACATGGATTTTTTAACATTTCCTGCTTTGGTTGCATTTGTGCCTTCAGCCATTTTAATGACGTATTATAATTGTGTCATAGGTAGAAGTCCCAAAACCAGCAAGAACAGGATCTGGACCCATAAGAAAGGTATGAACTTCCTGATTTCTCTCCAGCATAGTACAATTTTTGGTGGTGGCTATCTCATTTTATTTGAAGTCTGTGGTTGAAACTTTCAGTTGCATCTTACCATCGTCATGTGATTTGCCATATTTATTCATTTTATGTAAAGTTCCCTGACTTCAATTTACTGGCTACTCTGAAAATTGTAGTGTATCTTAACTCTTCAACTTATCAAAGTTGTTATTCTTTTCTTCTTTGTCTGCAGATGCTTTTAACCCATGAAAATCTCAGTTTTGTTGGTTATACATACAAGAATTTTGAGGCAGTCAAAGGGTTACACCAGTCATTTGGTATGCTGTGCTAGTTACTTATGAATTATCTACACTTTCCTTTTTCTATTCTTTGTTTTCATGCTGCAACATAATATATTTATTGTATTTCATAAATTCTTTATAGTGTTTATTGTGATCAAGTTACAAGTTCTAGCAACTGGTGCGCTAAGGACAGTTTTTTTTTTTTTTTTGTTATTATTATAAATAAGGATATTATTAAGGAACAGTTATTTAGGAGTCCCCCTCTCTCTAAATTATTTGTTCTTTTTCCTTTGTTGTTGATGACAGTGAATTATTCGTTCTTTGCTGCCAGGCAGAGTTCTGTCCTGTCTCATTAAACCAAACCTTATTCATTTATTAACCTTTACCTCATCCGTATAGCTGTTAGCTTGAAATCTCAATTTTATTATCCCTAAAACCTTAATTTTCTTGAGCATAAGGCCATGTTAAAATCCTGTAGACAGGTTTCTCCAATCTGTCCTACTATAAGTTTCCCAATTGTTAATGCATGATCCGTAATTCCATTGGTAAGCTGAAAAGATGACACTACCAGTCCAAGACTACCATCTCTGTAATTACTTTGTTGCATTCATCTACCAATCTTTGATATCTCCAGTCTTCTGATGATGACTGTAGCTTCAACCTGTTCCTCAAAACTCAAAAGCTATATCCTTTTAGCAACATAGAGAAATTGCAATGTGCATTTGGAGGAAAGAATATCTACTTTCTACTTTTATCTTTTTTCTGTCTTTGCTTTGTTTATTTAACTGCTTATGATTCATAACACTGCCTCCTGAAGAATTCTCTCAAGAGTTCATTCAACCTCTGCAGATTTAAAAAGTGGCTTACCAAGGGCATCATCAGCTGACAGTGTTCACAGTAATGCATCTTCCAATGCTATCATTTTAAAATCTTCTTTTTGTTTATTATTTCGAGTAAGGTGCTGATAATGAATTAACTTTTTTTTTTTTTCTCCCTTAGGTGATTCTGCAGTTGACTATTCCAAGTACACCAAGGACAACACAGGAACTCAAGTGCTTGCACCATCAGAGGATGCCATGTCACAGTGAGGAGTCTTTATTCCTTTCCAATGTATGGTATCCTGCATGTACTGCAGCAACAAGCTCGTATTCTTAAGGTTGGTGGGTCTACCTGCTTATTTCTGCCAGGTCCTACCCTTAACTTCACCATTATGTATTTGCAGAACCTGAACTTCCAAGTGTACAGTACTATCCCCAAGCATGATGAGATGCGCCCCTTGAGGGGGGCTGGTTGGTAGCAATAGTTGCAGGCCAGAGAGTTTTTTGTATCCATCTAGTCTTTTCCAGTTTGTATCGAGGCTCCCACTACCCAGGTTGGCAAACCAAATAAAATGCCTTCTCTTGTGGCAGTTTCGGGTCCTCATTGCTTGCCACCCTCGCTTTTCTTTTAAACTCAAGTTCCATGGTGCTCTGGATCTGATGCTGTGTTAATGTCATTGAGGCTGATCTTTGTATGGAATACTTCATCCTTGTGCTCCGATGAGCAGAACAGGAAATTTTGAGTTATTGAAGTTGAACTATCTTCTCTTAAATCATCAGTTTGATCTGGGTCTTTTTATTTTTATCCTTTTTTTTTTTGTGATAAATTCATTAGCAGATATAAGGACAAAAGAAAATGGTACATGCTTAATAATATAAATTAATTGTGAAAAGGTACAATAAATACATTTTTAATAATATATGTTAAAAAAACCTTAAAAAATAGTGATTTGTTGTGATAAGATAATAATAATTAAAGTGAATTGATAACAATACAGTGAAAGTAGGAAATAAAGCTCATATATATTTTATCAATTATCTAATAAAAATAGAATTTGTTTTTTACTTA